TGTAAAAAGTCATTCTCCCTCTTCTTATGTGAGCTCCCTTTAAGTACTGAAAGGCCACAATGAAGTGTACCTGGAAAACTCTCTTCTCAAGGCTGAAAAACCTGCCTGTGTGATCCTCTTTCTTGGGGAGTGCAACCCACTACCCCACTGGGTTGAGAGTGTTTACCTTGCAGAAGTGGGCAGTCGATGGGGGATGCTGGCCCATGGCTGACCTTTTGCAGGCCCCAGCCATTTACAAACTACAACCCCTTTTTCTTTTTTTTTTTTTTATGGCTAGTAACAAGAGGCATCAGTTCAATGGCAGATGGTTAATGAAATGCTTAGGTACTTCTCATACACATTGTACTGAAAGAACAATCAGCCTAAGCCATGCACAGTATTACCAGAACATCCAGATGTTTTTCATGTGTCTTGCTGTAAATATTCTGGTTTTAGGCTCTTAGTACCAGGATGGGTAAGCAACTGTAACAGCTTGCATTAGAAGATGTTTATACAGGAGCCAAACTTCTGAATGCATTTCAGGTTTTATTTCTTTATTTCCAGTTTTATTTGTCCATGTGTTTCGATAATTCCTTTGTACATCTCATAATTATTGCTGTTCTACTTTTGTGCCAAATTGAAAACAAACCAGACAACCAATAGCATGGAGTGCTTCACCATTTTTCTTTTATTCAGTGCCTGCTGAGGATAACAATATTTCTATACTGCTTGCTTAACCAAAAAATTGCTGCTGTTACTATTTAGAAGCAGGCTGCTGCTTTCTTTTTCCAGACAGCTATATTTTACAAACTGTATCTGCTGATACAGTCCCTGCAGTGTGTCATGGGGCAGAAATCATCCAGCTCAGCTTCTTCTTCTCCCAGATGTTTCCAGAGGGTAGGGTAGGACCTACTGGCCAAATGCATCTTAGAGAATAGTGGAGGAACCACAATATCAGATGGGAAAAAACTCTTGCAGACTTCTTTCCTAGATCATCATTAAATGGGCTCAGGTTTAAAAAGAGGCTCTTAAGAGATAGACATCTTAGAAGGAAGCTAATACAGCTGAAGTTGGACAGAAGTATTTAATTCTGTTTCTGTCTCCTTGAACTTTTCTTCGCCCTGTGGGATTCATAGGTAACCACAGTATCATGATTTTATTCTACTGTCTAGCATGTTCACATCATTTTGTAAGAGGGATTTGGTGGTTTTTTTTTTTCACAAATATACTTTTAAATCCTGCCAAAATGCTGTGACATGGAGAGCTATGACTTCATTTTCTACTCTCAGTGATTCAGAGGGGATAATTTTACACTGTACAGTACCAAGAATTTTTTATCCGTATAAATGTTTACACATACCAAGTCCAGTCTGTAAGACTTGCAGATGTGTTTCTTGTCCAGAGTCCCTGGTGAGGTGCTGCTGAGTGATGTAGTATTGTCATTTCTGGGATTGAGTCTCCTCTTACGCCCTTCTCTTGTACTGAGGAGGACATCTGAAGAGTTAGGAGGTTCACATCCCTCTCATCTCAGAGCATTCCTGCACAGCAGGGAGTGACTTCAGATGTATGTATGTCAGTGAACATCAGTCAAGAGAGGTGAGTAATAAAAAATAGAGGAAGAGCCAGCAGAACCCAGACACAGCTGAGTCTTTTCATCTCACTGATTCCAAAGAGCATAGCAAAGCTGAGCCTGGACAGTGCAATTTAAAATAAACTATCCTGCAGAAAATCCAAGCCAAAGCATCTTAAATAGCATCTATTTACAGAAGAATGATCAAATCCAAGGTCCTAAATGTAACACAGAAACATATATCTTACTTCCAAATGTGCCTATGACAATATGTAAGTCTTTAACACTTTGATTGAACCAAATCCCAAAGTTTGTATTACTTAACAAGGAAAGTGGATTAATAAGGTATTAATGATATAGATGATTGATTATATTTTTATATTAATTTAGCAGGAGTTTTGTTTTATCAGTATGTTATATTCCAGAATGGAGTTTTGTATTATTTACAATCTTAGAATAATTAGTATGTGTAACCATTGTAATGGCAGCTGTAAAACAGATTGCAAAGTTCAGCAGGCAGTATTCTGGGAAAAAAAAAAAAAAAATTTGGGGTAATTGTATGGATGTTACTTGTAAGAATGTAATGGGTTCTTCAAGTCTGTAACATCCTTAATCTGAAACTGGATGTCACAAGGAGATGAAATTGGAGGGTGTGCACAGAGTCTATCCTGAAAGGTATTAGCATGAATCACCTTTCCAGAGTGTCCATCCTGTCTCTCTGGCTCTGGAGGAAACACAGGATCAGTGTCAACTGCCTGAGATTAATCTCTGCCTAGACAGTACTTTATTGTCCCTTCTCTTAAATTCCGTGTCTCTGGCCAGCACTGGCAGCTTTAAGAGGTTAGTCTCAATTGGCAACATACTCAGGTTGTGCAGTGCCTTGTATTTGAGAGGGGACAGATCTTTCCTGACCCTCATATTGATAAATTTATACCAGCAACATTAAGCCAAATCAGTTGGTCTGGTCTCTGAAGCATACCAGCATGGCCTGTCTTACACACTGTGTGTGAAGATGCTTTCAATGAATACAGGTACTTCCAGGATTTTTTTTCCCAAAACTGCCTTCATTTGCATTGTTCATAATCTTAAATACCATGAAGCCCTGTAAGAGATTTAAAGAAGAAAATAAGTAGAAAATTAATGTGTTACTCCAGTTGTACATTTGAAATGCATCAGCCTGATATGGTACTTAGGTTTAATGCACAGCATCATCATAATTTACCAATTTATCTATATATATTGCCATACCGACCAGGGGTTCAGTGTGTCTGGGAGCACAAGGCAGGGTAGTGAGATGGAGAAGCCATGAATGAAGGAGTGAAGTTCAGCCTGGGACAAAAAAGGAGGTGGGCGAAGGAAAGCATTTTATCTATTTGTTCCTCACCATCCAACTCTATTTTAACTGGCAATAAATTAAATTAATTTTCCCCAACTGAAGTCTGTTTTGCCAGTGACGGTGCTCAGTAAGTCATGTTACTGTCTTTATCTCACTCATAAGCTTTTTCATCTTGTTTTCTCCGCTGTGTCTTGTTAAGAAGGGAAAATGAGAGAGTGGGTGGGCATCTGACAGCCAGTCATGGTCAGCTCACTGCAATCTGGTAAAGTTATTGGCCATCGGGTGACACTTTCGGTGAAAGAGGACAAGGTAGTGCAAGAAAGATGAAGATGAGTTTTCTCCATCTTTTTCTCTATTCCCCAAAACTTTCCTCACTCCTTTAGGTATTTTAAGGCCACACTAGGGTATCCCCAGAGCTGCCTTCTTCAGGCTGAACAACCCCAACTCTTTCAGGCTCTCTCTGCAAGAGATGTGCTCCAGCCCTGTGGTCATTTTCGTAGCTCTCACTTTTGGTACCAGAGAGTGTTGCCATTTGCCAGCTGAGGGAGAAACATGAACTAACTGAACTCAATTCCCTCTGAAGCACATCAATGCCCCTTCCTAGGTAACCAAAGAGATAACAACAGACACTCTTTGCCCAGTGAAGAGCATTTATAGTTCAGCATTCAGGCTGAGTATGTAAATTCTGGTATTGTCATTTTCTTATGGAAAAAAAAGGAACAATGAGAAATGAACCAAAATCTCCATAATGCATATATTTAATTTAATAAATATTCAATTCTTTTTCTCTGAGAATAAGACCAAATGGAGAAGTAGTTTAAAAGTCTTACTTTACAATGTTTTGTGAAAGAGACCTATAATTGTGTGGTTTTGAAGTGAAATTCTTAATACTGTGCTCTGTTTCATAAATTAATTTATTTAGTTATTGTTTGCTGGAGAGCTGAAACTGTGCCAGAAGCCTGAAGCCAGACTCCACAAGCATGTGTGCACCTGATAAAGAAACTGGATTGAGCTCAGAGCCAGATGTGAGCACAGCTGAACTGAATGCAAAGGCTGTGAGGACCTGCTCATAGCAGATGTTAGAAAGGGGGGCTCAGACATGCACCCAGATGCCACAGACAGAGCAGTGGCCTTAATCAGCACTTCCAGTTAGTGCCCCTGTGAGCCCCTGGTTAGAAACCCAGCTCAGCTGGGAGTATCATAGGTGGTTTGAATTCTCCCTTCTGGGAACTGCTGGGGCATGTTCCAATTACCAGTGTCCACATTTCTTTATGATGAAGGGTATGAACATGCAGAGTATAAGAAATATCTCAGAGAGTGAATTCAGGCATGGAATAGAGAAATCTCATCTTCATCTTGTTGGAGATGATAGAGTACAAAATCTGGGCTCCCAAAGCTGTATGTGGGAGGGAGCCAAGAGGAGATGCACTGTATTGGGACTGGTGTAAAATCCTCTCTATTTGAAAATACATAGATACATTTGTCCCAGAAAAAATACATTTTTTTTCTTTGCAGGCCTCCCACCGTAGTTTTTACTTTCTTGGAATCTATAGATCTGGCTAAGAAATGTCAAAGGGTATGGGGTGTCAGCACAATTATGGCAGTGATTTCTACAAGGCAAGGAGATAAACCCATACATTTCTCCTAATTCCATAACCTGGAATTTTATTATTTATGGCTAATATATGCAGTGGGGCTTTAAATGCTTCAGTAGCCACTCTTGGTGTAATAAAGACATTGTTGAAGCAGTATGAAAATGTTTAGAAGCTCAAGGTTGGGTCCCACCCTTACGTGGCTATCTATGCCTATTTCCACTTGTAAATCTATGTATCTTAAAAACAGTAGCAACCACTCTTCTAACCAGGAAAGTTTTTTGCTGTGTAACTTCTCAAGTTAAAGATCTGTGCTAGACTAAAAATCTTTGCTGGGAGCAAAGATGTGACTGAAACAGCATCTAAAGTATTTGAAAACACTTTGTCCTGGGGATGTGCCTGGGAATGCTGTTGATTTTAACTTAGATTTAGTTAGCATGATTCCTGACATCAGTGTAATGTTGTCTCTTTGGGTTTTTTGTTTTATTTGTGTTTTATTGTTGTTGTTTTTTTTTCCTCATAGGTTGGCTGGATTAACTGGCTGTCATTCAGAAGGAAGTTGGCAGATCTATTTTGCTTTCGTTGAACCTCTTTACTGCACATCATAAAGATTACCTGTGTCCGGAAGCTGCAGAGTAGACAACTGAGCAGCACAAAAATGTGACTCAGACAAGAGACTTCAAGCCTTCTGACAATGAATTTTCTACTGATTAGTTTCTAGTTTAAATACATAACTGAAGCATGCATAACAGTTAACCTGATAGAGAATAAAGAACTTTCTTATTAATTAGGACTGCCAAAAAAAGAGCAGCCACTTGAAGCTTCAAAATGAGTGGTCCATTAATTCCAAACAAGTCATGTTATGCCCAGCTTCAGGACAACCACAGTGAAATAAGAAATAATAATGAAAGCATAGTGAGTGTGGGGGATACGAATGCCAACCAAATTGTAACAAAAGTTAAAGTCACTGATGAAGATGTTAAGAAACACAATTTGACAGATGAAAGTGGGAATATATATTCTGGAGGAACAGAGAAGGTTACTCATCTGCATACAGAGCAGAATAAACTTCTGACCTTCAAAGACTCACGGACCTGTCACACCAGTGTACAGGAAAGTAAACTGCCCTCCACCACAAGCAAGGAAATGGGAAAAGATTGTAGGACCAGCGAAGTTAAGGATATATCAAGGCATATCAGGATTAGCCGAGGTCAAAGTCTGTCCAATTTAAAAAGTAGCACAAATGATGCCAACCTGGAGGTTATTTCCAAAGGTGATGTTGACTTCCCCCAGAACTTTTCTAAGGGAAAAATGCCCAGGACTGTGGAGGTGGAGAGAATAAAAAGGCTCTCTTTGGGAAGACCAAGTAAATTCTCTCCTCAGCCCGAAACATTTACAAAAGACTGCGTTGGCCGTGTGTCGTGTAAACGTCTGCTTTCTGCATCGTTGGACTCCATCGACACATCTCACCATTTGATAGGAAATACAGAGAAATCACAGAAAACATCCACGGATCATTTTCTTGGGATGATGTTTCATCCACTTGACAATACCTCAGAGGAAAATACTGTATTTTATTCCAAACCATCTACCTCAGGGAACAAGAAAATAAGTAAACCAGAAAATGTACCAAATGTTAACATTGAAAGCACACTGCATACTTCTCATTCTCAACATTCAGCTGTTAAGCTCAATGAAATTGTTTGTAAATCAGAAGCACAATTAGGTCAGGGTGATAAAAGTAAAAAACTGGAGCTTAAAACTGCACCATCTTTACAATATAAAAATACGTGTCCACAAAAGATAGAGAAAATTATGCTGGTAGAGTTCCTGGGGTGTCAAAGAGATAAAAATACAGCAGTGCAGGAACAGAAAGGCTCTGGGTCTGACACATCAAAATTTCAAGCATCTCATTTTGAAGACACGTGTAATAAAGCAGAGGACCCATTGTCAAGCCAGGTGGTAACTTACCCTGATGACAAATTGCGAAGTGGTAATGTCACTATCAGTGGGAAAAGGAGAGGAAGCAATGACAGTGACAATAGGGCAACTAGCCAGGTTGGTGAGGAAGATTTTACTGATGAAGAAGTGGAAACAATATTTCCACTTACCTGTGGTAGTAAACCCAGTATCAAAGTGACACCTAGAAAAAATGAAAATTTGCATGAAGTTGACGCAGGCTGCGCTGAAACAGTTGCTGAACAGATATCTCTTATACATAACATTAATCCACCTGACAGCAAAGCCTTGAAAGTTAATGAGAATAAACTGATGCTAGTCAAAGAAAGCACTGAGGATGCCGTTGTGCCTGCTTCTGATCTCTCTGATCATCACAGAGTGTGCAGTGCAGAGACAGCGTCAAACCAACAACCTGACAGCCACAACAGTGATGTGGAAACCTCAAGTGTTCCAGTTTCAAGTAAAAAAGCAGCTAATGCACAGAAACATCCTGCAGAGGAAGTACCAGAGAGCTGTAATGTTTCAACAAAGGCTGATGTCTTTTTATGTGTCCCAACTCCCGTGCGCCCAGTGGCAACGCTGGATGTTAACAGTCAGCCCACGCTATCAAACAGTAATCTGAGGGACCTTTATGCCCTTCCTGATGACAAACTGTCAGTCCTACCTCCCATTGACAGCACACAGTTGTTAAACATATCCCCTAAAGTGCCTATCAAGACTGCTTGCAGCAGCTCCATCCCAAAACCTATCCTGGTCCACCCAAAGGGCTCTCCCACAGATAAGGCGGGTGCAGACAGTGACTGCAGTGAAAAGCTGGAAGAAAATGTGGAGATCAAACCTGCCATACCCCGGCCCAAACCCGTGAGACCTAAAATCATCACGTACATTAGGAGAAACCCTCGTTCGATAGAGCAGCTGGACCCCTTGTTTGCACCGGCAGGGCTACCCTTCGGTAGCCCAGCGTGCAGCATGCCCATCTCTGCGGAGCAGAAGGCATCCAACGGAGGGGAGGCAAAGCCCACCAGCATCCTGTATGACAAATTTAAACCTGACCTCCAGAAGCCAAGACTCTTTGGTTCTGGACTCGTGGTGTCAGGAATTAGACCCCCAGGTCATCACTTCGGTCCAGTGAGTGAGAAGTTTCTGCAGGAGGTAAGTTTCTGCAGCTTTGACAGCTGCTTTTGTACGCCAGGTGGTAATAATTTGCTTACTTTTTGCTGCCAGAAGTTGGTTATCAAGCCTCAAATAAGAAGTAAATCCTAAATCAGGGCAATATGTGATCATTAGAAACAAACTTTACTGTTTCTGGCACAGACCCTGTTGCAATGTCTTAGCTGTGACTGGAAGTTGTCACTGTGTTCCTCATCTATTTTCCAGCAAATTGGTCACTTGCTAGTATTATAAATAAGATGTTTAGAAAGCAAAAGACATGCTGAATTGGATAAATGGAATTTCCTTTTTTTTTTCCCTAAAGAATAGCTTTGGGAAATTATTGTAATTTGCCCACAGAGACTTCTTCTGAGTGGGAAAGTTGGCAGGTTTTTGTAGACAGAACACTAGAGGTCTAAACTAATTCCCTTCTGTTTAGCTGTATTGAAACCCAGGAACTATCAGAGCTCTTTTTAGATTATGTATATCATTTAGAAAAAGGTTTACTTTTGACTCATTTCAGTGCTGTCTCTTATATTGACCTGAACCTCAAATAAGATTTCTCCTTTCCCCAGAAAGCCATCTTGAGCAGCCAAAAGGTGATGAAAATCCCTCTGGCTCCTGAAACCTCATTATGTTTCTGCCTTGCTAAGTTGGGCAGGAGTTTTGGTTTCCTGAAATCCCTGCTGAGGGGTGAGCATAGGGGAGGAAGGATGAACCTGCATCATGGGTGGAGAAAGGACAGGGAAGAGGAAACTACATTAATGTCTGGCACATGCCTTTGCATCTACTGCTTGGGACCTGTGGTAGCTCAACAACCAAGCTTTCCACATAAATACCAAAGATAACACAAGTGGTTTTAATTTGAACAAGTCTTTAAAAAAAGGTTTTGGTTTTTTGTTCGATAACTCATAGTGTTATTAAGGCTATTTTATTGCCTGCCTCATTCTACATACACTATTGATCAAAGGAATAACAAGAAATAACAAATTTGGAGACAGTGTTGACAACCAAAAGTTGGCAAATATCCAAATTAAGATACTGTGTGTGAGTGTAGATTGACCCTTATGGCATCTTAACAGGCAACCTACTGAAGTGACCAAGGACTATAGTTATTTTCCCAAACACAGAAAGGACAGTGCCCACTGTCCTTTTCCCTCTAACTTCCGTTTCCAGTTCTGTCCCTTATATTTTGTGTCCAGAGGAGGAATTACTAAAGTCATTCAGTGTTTGTCTGTGCCCACCATTATCAGTATATCTTCACAATCACCTTGTAAGGTGAGGGGAAATTACTGAGTTACTACTGTTTAATGCATGTCAGTGGAAAATAAAGCCAAAATAACCCAGACTGTGTAGCTGTTTTGCTGTTTTTAGGGTCACATGACCCTCTGAAGACCACAGGTGTCTATGACAGTGGGGTTTCAGATAATCAGGCAGGATCAGCAGACATCTGTGAGGAAAGGACAGATTTCTGTGCACTACTGAGGAATGTTTTTAGTTGGAGAAAGACTCAGGTTGTGGCAAGTCTGCAGCATGGTTTTCTCTAGACTAGGGTTAGAAGTAGAACACTTATGGGCTGGAGAAGATCCAAACCATCCTCCAAGAAATAGGACTTTTTGTGGGTATTTCAACAAGGGAAAATCTAACCTAAGCAAGCTGTTTGAAGCAGCTTGAGAATCTGGATTGACTGGAGGAGAGGCTAGGAAGGAAAACTCAGTCAAAGTGTAGTTTGTGTTATGAGTTTGAATTAGCCTGGGAGTCAGGAGCTGATAACAGAAGGTGGAATTTACTCTCTTGAGCTGCCACCCTAAAAGCAATAACCTAACTGTGTTTCCAGTAAGGGGAATGCAAAGGGAACTGATTTGACTCAGTATGGATCAAGAGAAAGGAAAATGATCCATCCATGGAGGTGAACAGGTGCTTAGAAGAGCAGCTGTGCACAATATGAGTTTGTAGCAGATGAGTGATGTGTAATCCAAAAGAAACCAATTAGGATGGATTGAGATCAAAATCATTGTGATGAAGGAGAGTGTTGAAAACTCAGAGGTTTTGAAGACAAGGAGACTGTATCAGGACAGCTACTGTCTTGGTGAGAGAAAAAATCCCAGATTGACCAGTTTGCACATCCGGTTTGAGCTTTGGAGATCTTTTGACTAGCATTTTGTAGCTCTTTACATAGCTTTGATAGGGTTAATAGCTGCTATCAGTTAGACCTGTAATCTCTAGCACCCTTCAGCTAACTAAATGGTAAGAACAATAAAATATCCCTCCAGGTGCTAGGAACTAGAAGAAATAGGAAAGTGGTCTTGGACAGGAGACTCTAAGAAAAGGCCTGGAGAAAGACTTGAGGGCTGCCTCTGTGCAGTGGGGGAACTGTAGGGGTTCTTGAGCCTCCTATGCCAAAGCCCACTTAGGGCACTCAGACAAAAATCCTAATTCAGCCATGAGGGCAGTCCAGCTGTGCTGAGAGACTGGGCCCATAGAGGAACTGAGTTAGGGTTAAATAGGCAGAGACTTGCCTATGGCACTGGCAGCACCTCCAGTGCTTTTCTTTGAAACCTTGGCATGGTGTGTAGGTAGATCTTTCAGGCCTGTCTTCATAAAAAATACAAACAACCCCTCCCCCCCAAAAAACCCCAAACAAAACAAAACAAACAAAACCAAACAAAAACCCCAAAACAATAAGCAAACAAAAAACCCAAAAACAACCAACCACAAAGAACAACAAAAAACCCCACCTCTCAAGGTGAAATGCAAAATGCTTGAGAAAACCAGTCGTTGTCCAGGGCAGATCACTGCTCTCCAAATGCCTCATCATAATGTGGGCTCCCCATCTCATCATGGACCTTGTCCTCTTTTAGTCAGCACCAATGGGTATTTGTGGTCACTTTGTGTTCCCAGTTGCCTCCAAGGGAAGTAACAGAGCAAATCATGGGACGCAAAGTCTGTACCTGTGCTAGTGAACTGAACAGTGGAATGACATGGCCTCCAAGGCTCATGCAAGTTTGGCTGTACTGCTGGACTGGGAACACACTCCCCAGCTCTACCAGCATGTGCTTACCCAGAGGCTGCTCCCACAAACCAGCATGGATCAGCCTGGTCTGCAGAGTGAGATTTACCCACACGGATATAGTCCATGCTCTGTCAGAGTGGTCGCTGGCTCGCTTTATTCACTACTTTATAGCTGCTGCCAAAAGCCTTTGTTCTGGTGAGGGTCTATAAGAAGGTCTGCTGATCACCAGCTCTCCTGTCTGCCTCACCAAGGCTGCTCCTGCCCCATTCAACCACCTCTTTGAGTACATTCCCCAGCACAGACATCTTTCTGCTCCAGAGAGCATAGATTAAACTCTGTTGAAACGAAGGCTCTGCCAAGGAAAAAGGAGCAGAGGAGTTGGTTTTATATAGTTCAACCAACAATTTCTGCCCTTAATCTCATTATCTGAATTGTCGAACCAATGTTGCCAACTCTTTTCCTGAAGAGTTGCCTAAAGCAGGCATTTGACAAGCAAATTCTTGCTTGAGGCATTAATGTTTGACAGTGTCATAAACAAAGTAACATGAAGTAAGGTGTTGGGCATCCGTACCTGCTGGCCATGCTGCCAGCTCTGCCTGGGACTACCCAGCCTGGGGAAATTCCTGTATGCTCTACGTATTTGCTGCAGACTTCCTATCTCTTTCTAACCAATTCATTATATCGGGTGTGTGGGGAATGAGCTGACAACCACACACAAGAAAACTCTTGACTGACCTTCTTAGGGAACAGGCTGGAACAGATCTTTTCTTTAAAAGTCCCTGTACAAAATCTAGTACAGGATACTAACAAGTCTCATATTAATCCATATCTTTCTGAAGAGCTTTAAAATGGCAATAATTTTATACAATTCTGTTGAAACCAGTTGAATTTTACACTTGGTGTACTCACAGATAAATAGATAAGATAGTGTGTCTTCATAGCAAGTTTGTGTCCCTCAAAACTGGGTTCTTCAAAAAAGAACATCTCATTCTTGAGAGATATTTGACTAAATTCATCTGGACTTGATTATCTTAAGGATCTTTTCCAACCTAAATGATTCTGTTCTGAATCCTTCTTACTTCTCTCAGCTTGAGAAGATGTTTTATAATTGTGATTCATTGTTTTTGTGTCCATGTTTGTTTCTCTTCTGTGTTTCTCCTAGCATACTGTCAATAAAGTAAAAAAAAAAAAAAAGGCGTAACAGAAGATTTAAATAAACAGACTCAGTTTATAAAAAAAGGAATGGTTTCTATATTTAAAGATTTTCTCTTTTCCTTATACTGAAGTACTTGGCATTGGTGTTTTCACTGCCAGTTAAATATTAAATGATAGCATGCATAGTGTAATCTGCTGGAAATAAATTTAGCAAAGAGAGAGAAGATAACTAAGGCTTATCCAGAAAAACAATCTCATATCTAGAAGTTGAAAATAAGAAGCCAAACATCTGCAGTCCAAGCCTAAAGAATCATATGTACAGTAAAAAACTACATCCTAACTTGTGGAAATAGGTCATAGGAGTATAATAAAAAGGAAACAGGAAGATCAAATGGCAGGAAATAGGACTGCAAGCAGAGGAAAAAATATAGAGCAAAAATACAAAGCTCAGTATTTGTTGCATCTACCCTCCTAGTTCCTGTGCAGAGGCCTCAAAAAATCTATATTTAATAGTTTAAGGCCAGTCTTGTCTCTTAGCATATTAAAGATTTGCTAAATTAGGATTAAAGCTCTTGAAGGAGTTAGGATCAAAGCTTTTATAGGCAATGTTGAAGTGCATATTCTAATGCTTATAATTGCTAAATAGAAATTGATTTGGCATATTATATGCATCATAACTTACAGCAGAGTTAATTAACTGGCAGTTACAGTTTTTCCTAGGTAGCCTGTGGCACTTTTTGATTAATTTTTAAACAAATTTAGTTCAGATTTCCTATTTCCTATGGCTTTTTTTTTTTTTTTTTTTGTCCCCATGACCTAAATGGGTGACTGAAAAAGTATTCATGGTCCCTTTCTACATTATGATGATATCGCATTGTATAAGAAAATGGTAGAGAAGTTGGACTCTGCTCAGAAGAGCAAATGGTTCTTTGCAAATGTGAGAGATGAAAACTACTGACATTGTTCTGTGCTGTTGCCCTGAGTCACGAAGCAGCACAGCAAAGTGGGAGTCAGAGACCAGCTTGAGTGCAGAAGGATGCAAGGGCTGAATTGAAGAACCAGGTCATTCCTCGGCTGCAAGTTCACTGCTATGAGCCAGTTTGCTGGGAATACTTCCAGCTTGGGACTTACTGTGCTGTCCTCACAGTAAATGCCCATTAAAATACTGAGAGATTTGTCACTGATTTTAAAAAAGAAGCATCAATTTGGGATAAATTGTAAATGTTTCACATCTGCAAATTGTTATGTTTTGTTTTTTTTTTCTACAGGGGCACATAATACAATGAACATTTGGCAGTAAGAACATATAGACAGTTCTTTTTTTCTCATAGAAATGTTAGCAATACAATTTCTCTGATTTTATAGAATGAGCTTAAATACCTCCAGCTTTATTTTTAGCTAGCTAAGTTAAAACCAACTTCTCCTGGAATTGTGTCCCAGTAAGGATATTTTAAGTAACTTCTAATAAAAACTCCACTTACACAGTCTCTCAGTGTATCTACCTCTGTAACTAATATAACCTTTCGTGACTTAACACTAACATCATTTGCACTAATTGAAGATCTTCCATTTAATCTATTTTCTTTTGGGAAAGAGATATTTATTCGGGTTTAGTTGTATATTGAGTGTGTAAGGTAGGTATTTTTGGAGCGCAATTCATATAGTAAGACCATCACTTTTTGGAAGTTTGGAGTGCTGTGGACCCCGGATTCACAAGGAGGGAAATTTAGCCCGTATAAGCAATTTAGAGCTCCACATTATCTGGGTATATCGATTTATTGCATAATATCTGTGTTAATGATTTTTCTGTAGGTTGGGGAAAGGCCTGCGAAAGATGAGTTTTGCCCTCCACCATATACTCACTATGAGGTCCCACCAAGTTTTTATCGATCTGCCATGATACTCAAGCCACAGTTAGGACTGGGTGCAGTGTCCAGGTTACCATCTGCAAAGAGCAGGATTCTCATTGCGAGTCAAAGATCCTCAGGTAGCTGTCTCCATCAGCAAGGAGAAATAACAAATGCTCCCAGCCTCTATCATCCTGATGCTTCAGGTAAAGTATGAACTTTCTTTGCTTTCCTTTTACTGTAGTCACCAATAAGATTTTTTTTTTTCCCAGAAAGAAATATCACAAATTAAAAACATTTTGACCTGATACTACAAAGTTCTAACAGCACTCTTTGAGGTGTGTCTTTTTATCCTGCAGCAAGGCTGAGTGGGGAGTCTGAGACTTGCACAAAGGTTGTTTAGGAGGTCATTGCCAAAGAAGGAGAAAATAAAAAAATAATTCTCATTTTACTCCTTTTTATCTTCCTCCACCTCATAGATGCCTCAAAAGTCTTTGCTTTTGCCCTGCAGAAGATAATGGGACATTTTCCTCCATCATGAAGGGCCCATCGTTCAATCTGGATTTGACATTCCCCTACCATGTTGTGCTCTGAAAGCCTGGGCAATGTTCAAATGTGCCAGCAGAGACCTTGATTCTCTGAAACCCTGGTATACACCTCCTCGGAGACAACATTTCTAATACCTTTTTCTTCCCAGTTACTGCCCACCTCAGCATGACCCTGAGAAAAATTATAATAGAGGAGGGAAAAGCAAGAGAAAAGTTGGAAGAAGAGTACGATGCCACAAGACAGAGATAATAATTACTTCTACAGGACACTTCTTGGTAGCCTGGAAAAGCTTTGAGGTTTTAACAACGCACATTTAAACAGCAGCAAGTTCAGAGACAACTGAAAATCAGTAATTTTCACAGTGAAACATAGCAGCTGTTTAACAACCTGCAAATCTGCAGAGATTTTTTTAAAATAATCATAAGGGCTTAAGTTAAGTAATTACTTGGGGGTCATATGATCCCTTCTCTTGTGCCGGGATGGGATTCCTTCTGATACATGCTTATTTAACCTGTTCATGAAAAACTATTTATAAAAACCTTCAATATGAGGTCCTGGAGCCTCTGAAAGCAGGATTGCTCCAATGCATTATCTTCTTTCCAGTTTAAAGTTTTCCCTAGTGTTTGGCTAATCCCCTTTGTTGAAATTTACTTCCTCTTCCTTCTGAAGTGGTTGTGGGGTCTTCTTATCTTTGTAGTTCTTTGAAAACTATTACTCTCTCTCCCCAGTGTCTATTTCTCCATACTAAGAAGCAGGAGAAATTTAGAGAAATTTAAAGTGGAAATTCCTCAGAGTGTCTTGACTTTACCTTATGAGGACAATCTCTGTCAGTAATACTAGTTGACAGGATTTGGGGTTTATCAGAAAATCAAATCAAATCAAATCTCTGTAACACAGTGCCTGTTGCCACTATCCTTTGCTATCTGATCCTGCATCTGGATTTTATCTACTTTGATGCCATTAGCAGAAGCTGACCAAACTCAGCTGTATGATACTTCTGAGACATTACTAGATTGCAGGCTGGATCGTAAATACCATTTCAGCCCTGTGACTTGAGTTCAGTCAGCATTAAACATGAGAATACAGGTGCAGAGTGTAATTGGATCATAATTTCCATTTAAATGAAAGTGCAAGAGGCCGTGAGTTCAGGATATGAATAAGGTAAGCTGTTGTATAACAGGAAACAGTTTGGAAGATAGATATGAGAGGAATATACATGCAAGACCTATTAACAAATAAACTGTCTTTTCTGATCCTCAGAAATGAACGTTGCTCTGATTCTTATTCATCCATCCTCCTTCCATTATCCACATTATCCTGCATCATTGATGATAGCAGACATGACTTTTCCTTAGCCACTTTTAATCCATATAGGAACTTGTATATGTTAATTTACTGTCTTACTATAATATATGATATTCTACAATATAAACGGATCCAGCTGATGAGTCCTATGTATTGTCTTTAATAGTGCCTTTAAATATGCCAATTCATGAGAAGTATACATGAGGAAATTACATTAGCTGTTAGTGTGATTCTATTCCACTGAAGTTGTATTTCCTGAAGTTTTCATATTTCTCAGAAGTTTTTATTGTGTTTGTTTGTTTGGTTTGGTTTGGTTTTGGTTCTTTGTTGTTTGGGTTTTTTTAATCACTGATCATTTCTTAGACTTTGTCTGTTTTGGAAGTCAAATTTAATTCATAGCTTTCCATAATTTACTTCCTAAAACTGCTATTTTGCTTGTTTCTCTCTAGTCTATTGATACTTTGCTCTTTCAAAAATGCTAATAAAGATACCTTGTGGTAGTCCAATAATTTACCATCTCTTTCAGGATCCCAAGTCATTGTCTTTAGTACTGCCTTTTAAGAAGAATTAATTGTTCATGAAAAGGGCTGAAATGGCAGGAGATAGGACAAGAGTGGTACAGGAGTGCAAAGGCAGCAGAGAACTAGTTCCTGTGCCTGTGCCCACAGCAGTGGATGCAGAGCAGAGATGGTTGCCATGAATGGGATGGAGGGAACAGCAACCCCTGGCATGCAAGAGCAGTTGGGGTGCTGACGGGAGGGGCTCAGAGTAGGGCCAGGCACAGTTTAGCCAGTTGTGTTAAGGTACCCGACACTATTTTCAACCATTCTCCCTTAATTTGGCAATTAGTTGTAGTATTAAACTTTGATCTGCATTATTGGTTTTGATACAATATTGGAAAGACAGGATTAAATGCAGCTTTGATAGAGTCATATTTACAAACACAAGAAGATTAAATGCAGGGACATATGGTCAGCATACTGGAAGCAGAGACAGTAAGTCCTGCTTGTGGGTGCTGTGGGATGTGAGGGCTTGGGTGACTGCAGCAAAAGCCTTTAGGGTGTAGGGGGTATTTTTACCTTCAAGACTGCTAATCAGCATCTCTTGCAGCTTGATCCTGAGCTTTTAATCCAGTTCCCAATCCTAGTGGTTTCAGTCCTGCCCTGAGGTAATGGAAACAGAAGGATCTAACCAATTGCCATCCTGTGACAAAGTATGAGGTACCATGGAGGCTTTTAAATGGAAATCACCATGTCACAGTATCGGGAACAGCAGCAATGCTCATAATGAGGATTTTATTCCCCTTTGCCATACCATTCATAATGTAGCAATCTGGTTAAGCAGCATTGATAAGCTGAGTGGTTTGGACCATGTATAATACTCATAAAACTGACTCTAAAGTAATTGATAATTAAGTCCCTGAACTGCTGTGATAGACTGCAAGTACTACAAGTACATTAAAGGTTTTGTTAGTTTTAAGTTATGCAAAGTAGAAAGTAAAATAGTAATGAGTGTTCCCTCAAGTGACCTCTGAGTGTGATGCCTAATGTGATTTGAGTAGAGATCCTTCTTCATCTGTAGGATATAAGACATATAAGACATGTGGTGGCATTGGCTGCAAGTTCCTTATTAAGCAGTCTTGCTTAACATTTGTTAATTTTATGTAAATTCACTCTGCTCTTTCTGTAGGAAACTTGTAATTCAAAACAAGCATTGAAGGATACTGTCTCTATAACTTGTAAAATATTAATATGCTTTCCTTGGTTATAACGAATTCTCGAAGCAAGTGTGTTAGGATTTGCATTCATTAGCTGATTATTTTTAAGGAACTAATGTCTGATTTTGAAAAGTATAACAGAGATCTCATAGTTAAAACTTCACGTTAATTATTCCCATTAATTTAACTTAATTCTGCATTTTTCAGTAGTATTTACATCGATTTTTTTTCTCAAAGAGTGAGTTAATGAAATGTTGTTTCCTTATCACTTCCCTGTGTATAAAATTTGTCAGTCCTGAGGGTCTGGATGCTCCTCTTATTTCTATGCAATTCAACTTTTGATAAAGATAGAATTTACACATAAATCAGGACAGCAGTGTTTCTCATTACTCAGACAGACACGGATACATACACTTATTTATGTCTTTGCATATGTATAATGTATTTCATCATGAATTCTATAATATGTCTACAGCTTTCTCCCAGTAGGAAAGCTTTATTTTCATGTTTATACTGAGGAATACCTAAGAATTGAATATGTAAATGAGATTTGATGATAGAAAAGGAGTTTTGAGATTACTTTCTGAAATGTTGTCTCACTGATACACCAGCTGTGTACTTAGTTTATGGGTTTGCAGTCTGAGGTACTTGGATTTGAACTTGCAAGCTTCTTAATTGTTTAAGGAAAGAGATGACAAGGGGAGAATTCATAGAGGAAAATATTCTCTGTCCTTCACTAATCTGCAGAGTTTTCAGTTGGCACTCTCTGCTTTCTTTGAGAGAGCAATCTGACTGTATTTCATAAAGAAAAATCAAGTGTTTCAGAGACCCACACACACTTCCTTATGAGTTATTTTAAGGACATTGTCATCTTACTTGAGACATAGCCATCTGCCACCTCTCTGCTCCCAACAACTACCATGTCTTCAAAGAACAAAAACACATCATATGATAAGGGTTGTCTATATGACTCTTGTACCAAACTGCCATTCATAAGAACAGTATCTCTAACAATCTGGGCGTAGCAGCAGGCAAATACTTCATACACTGTCTCCTCCCAAGCATCATCACTGGCTGGGCACCCACAGCACTTGTGAGCAGCAGATGAGCAGCAGCTGGACAGGTGGGATGCGGCTCTGCTGCACAGAGAAGTGTTCTCGTTGCTCTGAGCTTTCGGTGGAAAAGGCAGTGAGTGAGATTCAGGCACTGGCAAATCCTGTGTTGGAAGTTTCTGAGGGATGCTCCTGCTTTGCACATTATCTGCAAAGCGAACACAGACATTTTCAGTTTGAATGAATTGTGAGATAACAAATTTTTGGGGTGTTGAGAATGTGCTAATCAGCCTTGGTTTGCCTGGGAATTGGGAAGGTGCAGAGCAACTTTTTGGAGCTTTTAAATATGAATCATGAGGAGATGAGCATTTGCTATCATATCATTTTGGACTGGCCCATCAGAAATTAATTGATATTCATCAGTGGCAACTGTTTTGCCTTTGGAACTGAATTGTCCCAGGCTTGACAGGGTAGCTGGCCACCACCTGCTCACTGCTGTTTAGGAGTAAATTTTGAAGCCTCAGTTCTTGTTCAGAGAGAAATGTCTATAACAGGGAAACCATAAAGCTAGTGGCAACAGAATAGGTTTCTCACTTATGCAGTTTGGTTTTAATGCACAAAGATCCCAGTGAGGTGGGTTAACTCTGTTAACACTGCAGTGAACCTTGCAGTTAAGTTTTTTGCCCTCAATTCCCCAATATGAAATGAGAATAGTGATGTTCAGAACATTAGAAAGTGAGAGAAAATGACATCTAATAATTAAGTTTTAACAGAAATGCTATTAAAAAAAAGGCAAAGCAAACACAAAAACCCTACCACAAGATAACAAAGGCTTGCCAAGGATCCCTGAATTGTGGAGTTGAAGTCTTGAACCACTACTCTTTTTCATAAAAACATGTCTGTGTAATTCCTTTCTTTAATTTTTCATTCAGCTAAAACATATTTCAGATTTCACAGAGAAGTCACATGAAAATTGCTTCTTACACATGCATGAAGATGCAATTCATGTACAGTGAGGATGCATGAGAAGTGTAGCATAGACTTTTGTGAAGTCTCCCCAGGCACATCTAGTTTGTGTCAATCAGTCCCTACCTCAAAATGTTTTCTTGTTTCAGGTTGGAACAGCTTGAAGCGTCAAAAAAAATCACTCATGTGCGTACAGACAACAGTACTTAATTCTATAATTAGCTTCAGGCAGTGAGACAATTGGAAAGATTTTTTGCTGATTTTTTAACTTATTTGGGCAGATTTTTATTAAAATGAAAGCTGCTCATTAAAATAACTATTGTTTTGAACTTGCAGAACTTGTTTACAGGAGTACTTCTATACTTTTTTAAAAAAACAGAAATAAGGAACATCCATGATAAAACTTGCTATTTAGAACAGAAAATAGATACAATAGGCTGATGCCTCATGTATTTTAATGAGAAAGAAGACACAAAATTACTTAGCTTTAAGGATTTGAATGCATCCCTAATGAGGATAATGTCCTGCCCTCAGGTCCTCATGGTACAGAAGAACTGGATTACAAAGAAGAGAAGTGAAAAATAATTTAAGGTTGATGATGAGTTCAAGATGCAAAATGTTGTTAGTTCAGGGAGAATCTGAACTGAAGTCATAAACTAGAAACACACATGAAAGTGTGAGAAAAAAACATTGAATCCTCTGCCCTAGTCTGGGAGAATGATTTTGAAGGAAAGGTAAAGATGATGGCTGGGCAGCTTGTCACCTAAAACCTTTTGGTTTTAAGGAAATTATTCTTCTTCAATGACACTCATGGTGCTTGGTGTGTTGTGGACTAGGGGTGCTTGGTTGCACAGTGCAGAGAACAGGCAGTATGGGGACTTGGTGTGGGCATCCCTGTGGTTGAGCTGCGGATGTGGGAGTCTCAGATGAACCTCATTGTCCTGGGACAAGCACATTTGAAATGCTTTTTGAATAAAGCTATTTCTAACCACTTTACACCACTGCCCCAGCGGAATTTCCCCTATTTTGTTGCAGGAAATCTGAGATATTTATAGTTTTATTGCTCTAAAATGGAAAAAATCTCTCCCTCCACCTCAATTTTCAGAGAGTCTTATGTAGTCTAGGCATGTTGGTGCATTTTTGGAAACCTGTAAAACCCACAAGAGACAGTCCCATACCTTCTCCTTGCTGCCACTGACCTGGGCAGGTTCCTTGCTCCTGCATCTCCTTGCCATGAGTACTTGTCTCAGCTTCAAATCTGGATGCTACCTGAGCGTGGTCCTCTCACTGATGTGACACGTGGAATATTTTGCAGTGGGGAAGGAAGAAGGCTGGCCTGAGGGTACTTTGCAGAGAGCCATAAACCAGCTGTAATAGACCACTGTCAAAGCAATGCTGCACAAGCCTGGCAGTAAACTGGTGGTGACCATCACTGCTTATCTCTTCTTGGTGCTCATATGCCTGGACTGCTGTTCCCCTGGAACCCATAGCTACCTCTGAGCCCATTTTCACATCATCCAAATGAAGCCAGATGCAGGATCAGAGTCCAAAGTAACCTCTGTTGGTGCCGGAGAAGTGAATGGGGATTTTAGCAGTCTTTTGTTACACACTATAAATACTTGTTATTTTCCTTTGGATTACTCTGCATACCATGTACTCCTCTTGGCTGGTAAAGAGAGGAGTAAAATCCATCTCCTTGAGTCCTAATAAAGGGCTCAGCTTCAGAAAAGCGTGTACAAACATGCATTTTTAAGAGCTTACAGTACATAAATTGCTTTGTTTGTTGAGTGAGGAACATTTTTTGATGTCTTTATAGGAATGTGTTTTATAGGATAACAAAACTCTTTTTAGCTTGATGTTACACGTATTTCTATTTCAAAAGAAAAAGCTTAGTTTTGTTAAACAAAGCTTAGCATTAGTATTGTGATGAGGTACACAACTATCTTTCAAAATCCCCACAACACTTTTCTGCTCAAAGGAGTTAGGCTTGTTTTCTCTAAAGTCTCTGCAAAGTGTAATGCTTCATTAAAATTAATAAGGCTGTGACCTACATAGTTTACAAAAGAATTATATACGGTAATAATATGAAGACCATATTCTTACTGTGCAGTTAATTTGTGTTTTTCTTTATATTATGAAAGTTCATTTCTTCCTTTGAAGTATGTGTCAGGCTAGTGTACAAGTAGTGTTCCCTGAATAAGAATGGCAAAAGGGTGACTTTGTAACCTATTCTGCTGAATATGTTGATAGTTTTTAATGATGCCTTGTCTCCTATCCCCCTCGTCCTGATGACAGGCATCAGTTTTTGGAGAATATTGTTAATATTTTTTTAGAAATGTATGTTGTCAAATCTAAAAAGAAAACTTCTGACCAAATTTATGTACAGCTGAGGTCTAGATTAACTTGGTATCCAGACCTTCCAATCAAAATCAAACCCTAATCTTTGATTCCTGGACTTGAAGACAATCTTGCCATGCTCGTGGACCTTTGGCCTGTGAGGACAATGTGGAACATTTATGAACCTATGTTGTGGATTTGCCTAGGAAAGTTTGGCTAGGCAATAGCAGCAGAATACAGGTTAGGACAGAAGCTGAAGACGGATGACCGGTTAGTTTTTACCACAGGCAGATATGGTAGCTGAACTACTGTTGTTGCCTAACTTCATGTGTTATAAATCTGCCATTGACAGTTGTCTGAGACTTGGTTGATGTCACTCACACAGGATGATGGCTTAATGGGAAGACGTCCATCAGTGGAAATGGCTGGTGTGTGGCATGTTAAAAAAGTACAGCTTTATAGGTCACATCCTTGTCCCCAGGCTTGGTGCAAGAAAAGTGAGTTTTCTTTTAGAGAAATTTGAAAGAAAACTTCAAAAAAATGTTTTCTTTGATGGTAAAAAAAGAAGTTCCATGTCCTTGAAGAGGATTGTTGGCGATCTACAATAGTTTCCAAAATTGGAGGTTATGCACAGTGTGTTTGTCTCAGTGCATGAAGATTTTTTTAATTGGCACATAGCAAGTGTAAAATTAGAAAGTGATACAGCATTAAAGAAGATAACATTGAAAGAAATTCTGAGCAGCGTTGAACTACATTACTTTGCTGCAAGTTTGAGTTATGCCTCATGGGTACTTGGCACATTTTATATTTTAAAAATTATTGTGACCTGCAGTCTTTCCACCAAACGTCTTTTTAGTGCAGCAAAGGATAAGACATTACTGCAGTTTGATCAGCCATTAAAACTTGTATTCAGTCATAATCTGCCTCTATGTAGCTGGGTGTTACAGGAAATGATCAGTATCTCCTGGTTTAGTTAATTTAAAAAAAATTTCTTTCTTTTTCCTTCTTTCAGTTGATCTTAAGAAAGGATCATGTCCAAGTGCTGCAAAATCAAATCTTCCCAAGCCCTGCCAGTCTGGACTTCGTCCTCCAGGTTATTCACGGTTGCCAGCAGCAAAGCTGGCCGCTTTTGGTTTTGTCAGGAGCTCAAGCGTATCCTCTGTCTCCAGCAACCAGTCAAATGACAGTGCTCAGAGTGATCAAAGCAGAACAACTAACCGTAAGTCCAAAAAGTGTCCTTCTTTCTGGAGGGATATTAAATAGATGTATTCCAAGATTGTCCAGATTGGAGTTTCTAATTTAAGACTGATGAAATCTGTGCAGTACTCGTTAATCTCTTTTGTGCCACTGACTTTGATTTGCTATCTTGATTTCTGAGTTAGGTTTATTTTTAAAAATATTGCTAATAATTATTAAATATGAACAAATATTTAGTAAATATTAAATATTTAAAATATCGGTATTAATAGGTGAATAGGGGCTGGCTGTACATCGCATAAAGAAGTGGTTGCTTTCCCTGGTACTGAGAAAATCCCATTAAGAGTGAACCTGAGGCATTTTTGTATTTTGTTTTTACCTGGAGCATCCCTTCTTACAAGCTGAAATAGTAAATAAACATAGTAAACTGTGTGTGGTAAGTAAATGGCAGTCAATGCAGAGCAGTTTAGGACAAAGATTATCTAAAATAAGCAATATAATCTTTCTCATCTTCTTTTTTCTACTTCTTACTATTCAGTAAAAAACCCTCAGTTTAGAAAACTGAGCAAATAATACGAGCTAGTGATATGAAAGGGATCAGAACTGATATCATAGCTGTTGTTTCATCTACCACACTTTGAATGATCCCATGGCAGAAATGTCATTCCAAATCCTATTTTCTTTAAAGGCTGTTAATTTTACGAAGTACAAAATAATACCCACTGGGTCATGTGGTCCTTTGGAAGAGTGCGCATGCCCTGGGCTCAGAGTGTAAAGGGGGATTGAGGAATTTTCATGCCCATTTTTCTTTGAAGACTGGATTGAGCCTGAACTGTGTCAATATCAAAGCAAGTGGTATCAGCCTAGAAGGGTTGCAGATAGGGCCACCAGGTGATATGAAGCAGCAGAGGAGACAAGATGCTGCAGGCTCCTAAATCTTTCACTGTTTGTATTACTTTGAAATTAATTAAAATAAATACAATGAAAATAGTTTAAAACCCTAAGGATTTTCTCTTTCTCCTTTATATGGGGTGATTGAAAAGCCAAAGATTAATATGAGTAGGGACTTCTAACTTTTCCAGTGCCCCTAAACATGCTTGTATCTTGTTTTACTGTTGCACCGATTATTCATTTCTGTTTATGTCCTAATAAACCTTACTTTTAGGGTACTCAGCCTCTTTTACTTTTGCTTTTACCCTACATTTATGCCTTTGGAAAGCTTTTCCTTTTATCTGGTGTTGCAATCTTTTAGTCTCTGGTTACCTAAAACCTATGTTGGGAACAGAACTGCCTGATTTCTGATAAGATATAAGCCACATCTTTGCAAGGAATGTTGTTGTCTAGCAATTTGAACTGTGAATCTGAAAAAAAAAATGACATCTGTATGTACAGTACTATCCATGAACACAGTAGAGGCATACAGCTTATACAGCTGAGAATTCTCTGAAAGGAAAATACTCCAAGGTGTTGAATTTTGAGTCAGTCGATTTCCATTAAAAAAAAACTGTGGAAGAAGCATTAATAATCTCAGACATAGAAAGTTACATCTGACTTCTCAGTTCTCTTAAAAGAAGTTGATTTCATTAATATATTCTGATGTACTTTTATATTGTATTTGTACATTAAGCCAGTAAAACTGAAACCATATTCCAGCCACTGGAAGGATGTGGAAGCATTTGCTTTCAGCTGACGTCGTTGAAGATGGTAATTCTCTTTACTGTCAGGATCAGGATGTTGTGACCAACTTGTGCCTATCACAAGAAAGATTTTGATGGATATGAAAATTACCCAAGGGAAGTGTTTTGCTTGTACAAATTCATGTAGAGATGAGCACAGCCTGTCATCTGATGAAAAATTGCACTCATAACTCTGCTCTTGCTGCCAAGTTAGGTAACTCATCTAAGCCTATGGCTGTTTCCACCACCATGTGAGAGCAAGAGAATGAGCCACTCCCAATGATCTCCTCCACCACATGGTTCCTGTGACATGCACAGCTGTCCAACCCAGAGTTCTTTTATTTGCCTTTAGCTGGACAAGGGTGAGAGAAGGAGAAGGTGTGTTGCCAAGCAGGTAGGGCACATCTCATGTTTAGGGTGCCAGCCCTCTGGTAAGTCATCACACAAGATGACACAGCATCTCATGCTTTCTTTGGATTAAAGGCAACACAACTCCTGTTCATCATTCCTGATAGGGCAGATAGGTAGGAATTAAAAATGGTTTCCTTAGTGTTGATTTATTAACTTTCATAAAAATGTTATCAGTGTGAAACTGTACTATCTTCTTCTATTTATAGTTCATGTGCCAGCAAGAGTTATATTAGTTGCCCAACACCCAGGGAACACAAATTTGTTGCTTTCCATTCTACCTCAGCTTATTTAACACAGAGCAGCAGTGCACTTCAACACGCACAAAAACGATGTAGGGGAGAAGTATTGCCTCAGTAATCTTAGCATGACATATTATTTCTTCCCTTCAGTGTCAGCTGGAGGAATGATTTTATTTAAATTAAATAAATAGCTGATTCTGTAGATACTATCTGAGATCATGTCTTTGACTAAATCAGGTTTCCTAGAGGGCAGGATAAAGTTTTACTGTTAATTTCCTAGCTCACTAGGGTAGAAAATGCAAAATGATCTAGCTTTAGAAAACTTCAAACATACATAACAATTTCACATTTAAGCAGCGTCTCTGTGTGTCAGAGATACAAAAGTAGTTGATGATACCTTACAAGTGTGCATATATTGTAAATAGAGGAGCTGCTACTGTTGTCACTCAAGGGGTTCACCTCAAAATCATGACGTATTATAAGTTACTAAAAAGCCAATGACTAAGGCTAGGTGAGAAAAAAACAGTGGTTTATTGTAGGGAAAGAGTGTTATAGGATAAACAGTGATTCTTTAAGGGTCCTAGTGGGATCCTTCTCTAGCTTTTCTCCTAGCTTTTCTCTCCTCCACCAGATGTTTTGAGGTGCTAGCCCTTCCCAAACACATTTCTTTTCAGAAGTCCTAACCAGTGTCTCTGTCTAGAGAGTAAAACCCTACTTGTTTAGAGTAAGGAGACATGATGTTTGTGTTGAAAGGAAGTTTGTTAATGGAGCTGCAATGCGGCAGCTTTGTTCTTCACCAGATTTCTCCCCTTCCTGTGGCCCCTCTAAGAGCAGTAAGCCTGGATGTGCATGGAGCCTGTGCTGTGCTCCTTGGTTGACTTTCTGGTGATACCTTGCATTTTCAGATTGACTCAATTAAATGGATTTTTCAACAGTGGTACTGTGCTCTTTTCCCATGGTAGAACAGGGCACACTGTGTAGCTCTTGCCTGTTTGTCCTCTGGTCTTTCTTGGAGTTCCTTCCCTGGATTATGGGTATAAGCCAGATTGCTGTTCGTCAATAGCATGCCAACTGTGACAGTCACGCCACCAGCTGCTAATCAGGATCAGTCATAACAGGGCTCTGCTCCTAGGAGGTCCTGCCCAATTTTGTGTTGAGGCTGGAGGGAGAGCTTTGGTATCCAAACTGCTCAGCATCTCACCAGCTTCTGTGGCAGGGAACTGACCTTTATTTAGCCCAGGGTCACTAGTCTGTTTTGGCCATTTAAAATCCACCTTTTGATGCCTGTGTGTGACTTGTGGTTTGCACATGGGAAAGCTAGGGTCTGAGAAGCTCATTCATGGTGATGGTGGCATATAAGGCAGCTTCTCACTTTGCTGAAGGAGGTGAGATGTAATAAAAGCCAAAGACCGTTGCAGTTCAAAGCTGGGTTCTAGGACGGATCAGGGGAGCTCACCACAGATCACCACTGCCTGTCCTGGCCTGTTCAAAATGAAATAGTTAAAATGGCTCAGGGTGAGTTCTTTGTTCAATATAGAGGACAAGGGCAGTTGTGTTTGAATAAAAGAACTCAGAGAAGTAGAGGCAGAGAGAGTGTTTGAATAAAACAACTCAGAGAAGTAGAGGCAGAGTAGAGGCAGAGAGTACCAGTGGAGGTGGGGGTGTGTTGTGTTCATCATTGGTTGCTATAAATGTTCTCTCTGCTCAGGGTGGAGCCTGCAGCTCCCCCTGCCGCTTTCACACCTCTCATCCCATGGCTTCCCACATCAGAGCAGCTTTATGTCACAGGCAGCAAGGCCCACATGATGTCTTGTGCTTGGGCAAAGTCAGATGGCCTGACACCTCATGGACATCTGAGAAACCCCAGGCTGAGGCTCAGCTGCAGGTTCTGCTATCAACCCTCCGCAGATTTTTTTCTGTGCCACAGATAGGTTTGTCTACTAATATTTTTGTTAAAGATTACCCAAAATTCAAGTTTACAGTCAACTCTGGCTTACTACTTTGGAGGTTTTCAAAAATGCATGATATTTTAAACCATTATTCTTTTTATAGACAAAGGTTTTTTTGTCAAAAACCATTTTACTTTTTTGCAGTGCAGTCTAAGTTGGCTAGAATTGAAAAATTCAGATAGTCCAATCTAAGAGGAGTGTGAATGTATTCTGCAAAATATGAGAAGAAGTGAATGACTAGAAAATCATGTTGAGGTTGAAACCAGTATGATTTGGGAGTGAAAGAATTGTGTAAACATAAAAACTCCTAAATAGATAACTTATAACAAAATACCTAACTTTTTGTATTTTCCCTTGGAATTTTAAATTCACTATGTCGAAGTCTGTTTCAATAAAATTTGCCTAAGAGATTCATGTCATACATTGAAGGCCCACAGTTGTGGGATGTGGTTCCTAGTATTATCTTGTGATTCTGCAGTGAGGTAATATGATGCTCAGAGTGTAACTTCTGATTTACTATTTTGAGGGGCTAAGAGTTCTCTCGCTTGTATCTGCATTTTTAGTGATCAGCTGAATATCCAACTCACGTACTTATCAGAACAGACTCTAATATTTGTAAGTACCACATGGGAAACGGTTTGTTATGCACTGTGGAAGAGTTTGATGTGTGGAGGATTTGAAGGACAGATCGTTCAGAATGAGTTAAGGTATGGTAACTGCTATGAGTTTTGGAAATGGAAACATGTA